TATCTTAGTTGATTTTGTCTACTATAACAAACTCCCATAAACTGAGTAACTTATAAACAACCAAAATTTATTTCTCCTGGTTCTGGAGGTGGGGAAGTTCAAGGCCAAGGCACCTGCAGATTTTGTGTCTGGTCAAGACAGACTTTCTTGTTCACAGATGGTGCCCTCTCACTGTGCCCTCACTTGGTGGAAACGAAAAACTCTAGTCTCTCCACCTTTTAAGGGCTCTAATTCCATTCATAAGAGATTTGTTCTCATGAAATATCACCTCCCAAAGTCCCCATCTCTTAATAACATCACTTTAGGAACTGGGCTTCAACATGTGAGCTTTTCATCCCATAGCAGAGAGGAAATTTTCAAAGACGAGAGATTGTGATGCCAATTAGATATAATACACTGAGAGAATATCAGTTATGGGAAGAATATCAAACAACAAATATTTGTATATAATATTGAAGAAGGTTTTTCAGCATGTAAGTGGAGATATTCAATAGGAGGCAGATGGTTATGTAGCAGTGGAACTCAGAAGAAATGCTTGAATATGTATACATGCATGCATAATAAGAATCACTGATAAATAGATTGCAGCTCAAGTCATGAGCATTGATATGAATGCCGGTGAGAAAGAATAATATACACATAAAAAAATATATGGAAGATGATTGATAGCTAGATCTTGAACCCTAGTACACAATGAGAGGGGATTGACTTGTGAAGAAAACATAACCAATGGACATAGGAATAGATGACAAATTAGAATAGAGTGACATCACCAAGGCATAAAAAGGAAAATTTCAAAAGGGAGAATATGGTCAACAGTGTTAAGTGTTAGTAGATAGCAAGAAAGGGCAATGCTCCTTTGGCTTCAATTACATGATCACTTTTTGACTCAGTGTTTTTGTTAAGAAACCATATTGAGTAAATTAAAGAGTTAATAGGAAGTGGGTAATATATTCAGTAAATCAAACAATTCCTACAAAATGTTTGCTTTTATAAAAGCTAAGAGAATATAGAGAGGAATATGGGGGAAAGAGTGTAGATTAAACAAAAATAGGAGTCAATAAAGTATGTTTAAATTTCCATATGAAGAATGTACTTGAGAGGAAGGGTTGCGTTTATTGTAGACAGAGAATAGAAAATTAATAGACTCACATCAGATGTCTGAGAAAAACTAAGAGAATGAAGTCCAAAAAGGAGGTAGTGGGATTGACTTTAGGTTAACAAAGGGAAACTCAGATGAAAGAGAAAATAATTAGAAAGGTGGCTGGACATGTAGATGTGATGGAATGTTTGTATATACGAAATGAAAGATAGTCTGATATTTGTACCTATCTCTGTAAGATAAAGAACAAGGTCATCTGCCAACAGAGCGGCAGAAAGAGGGTTAGAGCTTGAGAGCTTTGACAAAAGTTTTACGTAGTTCCTGTGGAGAGTAAGATCCCAAATTGAAAAAAGAAATAAGGATAGCAAGGTGCTGGGTTTTATTGGAGGCTATTGATTACTGCCTCAGTTTGGTTTGCTCCAAGAGTAGATCTGAAATCAAGCATTTAGGTGCCAGTAGTTTATTTGAAACATGATCGCCAGAAGCAAAGTAGGGATCAAGACTTTCCAAGTGAGGGATAAGAGAGCTTGAATATTTATTCACAAACTCCATGCTCTCACTGGGTAAGAGTCATTCCCAAAGTATTAATATTCCACCACTCTTAGTCCATCCCATGTACCGGCAAGCAGAGAGACATAGGTATTTTTATGTTGGGCCAAAGGAAAGACAAAAATATCTTAAGACATTATGATGTTAAACATGTATAAATGTTTATTGAAATGTCATATAGTTCACTAGTTTGGGTGGATAACTAAATGAGCATGTCCAGAGTATTGATTTAATGAATTAACATCAATGAAGGGAGAGAAAAAAGAAAAGATTTTACAGCAATCAACAGAACTCTATAATTAATGTTGTGAGTTAAGACATAGGAACTCAACAATAAAAGGAGTAGGGTTAATTAAATAAATTTAGGAAAGATAAGAACAATCATGCATGGTATAATAAAATTTCATAAACCTTTATAATACTCACACAAATTAAAGTAATCATTGACATTTAATGACTTGGGGTTTGGAGGAATTCAGATCCTTGTTTCCTTAATTTCTAGTTGGGTGGACTTGATAAATAAAAACTCAGTGAATATTTATTGCTATGAGCCTGGCCGTTTGTGAGGTGAGCAGCATCATGATAAACTAGATGAATTAAGCTCTGGATCCATGGTACTAGAAATCTGAGACCAATTCATTTAATTTCTCTGAATTTTCTACTCCTTCTTTGGACAAGGAGACTGGTAGTATGTAACCACAGGATTTTTTTAAGAATACAAAATATAGAAGCCGGGCTTGGTGGCTCAGCCTGTAATCCCATGCCTTTGGGAGTCTGATGTGAGTGGATTGCCTGAGCCCGCGGGTTCGAGACCCGCCTGGGCAGCGAGACCTCATCTCTACAATAAATCAAAAAATCAGCCGGGCGTGGTAGCGCACGCCTGTAATTCCGGCTACTCGGAAGGCTGAGGCGGAAGGATCGCCGGAGCCCAGCAGGTCGAGGCTGCGGTGGCCGGGAGCGGCCACTGCACTCCAGTCCGGGTGACAGAGTGAGACTCCAACTCAAAAAAAAAAAAAATACAAAATATGAATATAATTTTGTAATGGTTTTGTGTTCTATAAAATTTTATATCAGTTTAATTTTAAAACAATAACTTCCAACTAAATGTGAAAAATTTAAATTGGTTTATCAGATTCAAAGTCCTGAAATTTGAGTTTAAGAAAGTAATTCTTAAATTTGCAATAGTTAATAAACTGTGATAGAACTGGTTTGATGATAGCTCATATGAAGAAATTCCATAGATTTAACTCAACTGAACTTTAGTGTGAATTGAAAGTCTAATATTAACGTGATAACATTGATTAAAGTTATAGGCTGCATTGGTAAAACTATTATAAACTAAAAGATCATCGTCTATTTCTCCTCATTTATCCTACACACTACTGATATGTTTTCCTTAGATGCCAAATTTTAAGGAAAGTGAAATGCTGATGTTGAAGTCACTAAAAGTAGGATAGGCTGACAATCAGATATCTTCTGGTGGATTTAAAAAGGTGATTTCAAATATTTTAGAGTCATAATGAAAATGAAGGTATAGCATGGTGATTAACAAATCTTATCTCCTGTCTCAAATCTTGGTTTTTTTTTTCTTTTACTCTAAAAATATCCTGTGAAAACTAAAGGAGTTAATTATTCTTTCTGGGTACTTTCATTTGTTTTTCTGTTTTGTTTAATACACTGTTAGATTAGATGAACTCTAAATCCCCTTTGTATAGATCCTTTATTGATGTTGATAAAATCTAAGGGTTCTTTTTCAAGAAAACTGCACATTTAGGATATTGTCTTGAATTTCAAGTGATATTTAGATATCCTTCTGCCCTTGTATCCCATTCATGATTTCTCTAAACACTATGCTTTTGGGGAAGTATTTTTAATAATTGTTTTGATGTTGTTATTATTTGTAATTGATCATAATTTATATATTTATGGTGTAAACATGTTTTAATTGTAGATGGTTAAATCAAGCTAATCAACATGTCCATTATCTCACATACTTATTTTTTTTGTGGTGAGAATATGAACTACTCTCATAGCAATTTTCAAGTATACAGTAAATTGCACCATGCTGTGCAATAGATCTCTTGTACTTACTCCTCCTAAATGAAATTTTATGTTCTTTGGCCAATTTTTTGACAAGTATATTCCACCGCACCAGCTCCTGGCGACCACCATTCTCTTGTTTCTATGAGTTCAAACTTTTTAGATTCCATATTTAAGTGAGATCATGTGGTATTTATCTTTCTCTACCTGGCTTGTTTTACTTATCACCATGTCCTCCAGGTTCATCCATGTTGTCACAAATAAAAGGATCTTCTTTTGAAAGGCTGAATAGTATTGCATTGGTATATACACCACCTTTCTTTATCCTTTCATTTGTTAATGGATACTTAGGTTGATTTCCTATCTTACCTATTCTAGACCTCAATCACCTGATCAGAATAAATAGTTTATTCTCAGCAGCTCCAAAAATCTCTGAAAAAAAATAGAAAATAAAAGGGTAGATATTAACATATTTATGGCAGTATAACAACTTACCCTCAAACTTAGTGGCTTAAAAAAGCAGTTGTATACTATTTCTCACAAATCTGTAATGTGGGCAGGGCCCTTTGGAACACATATTTGGTTCTATGTGCTGACAGCTGGAGCACTCATTTGACTTTCTTGGGTGAGTGTTTAGATAGGTCACAAGGTCACATGGCATGGTGCCTCATGCTTTTCCATGTGGCCTCCCCACCTGGATAGTTCAGGCTTTCTGAAAGCTTGGTCATCTCACGATCACCAAACTTCTTATATAATAGTTTCCTCCTCTGATTTTTGTTCTAAAAAGACAAGCTCTGATGTACAAGCACTTATCAGTCCTTCCTTGCATAACTCTTACTAATGTTTCATTTGCCTTAGCATCACATACCCAAAACCAGAGTCAATATGATTGGAAGCTACAGGTGGCCATGAATATCAGATGTGTGATTCAATGGGGGACCACCAACAGGAATTTTTAGGTTCTTATAAATACTTTCCAAAAAGAAAGGGTCACCTTGGAAAGTGGTAATTTTTTCAAACCAAGCACACCTTCAAGCAGAGGCTGGGTAACGGCTTATAGGAGATAATGTAGAAGTAACTGCTACTTTCAGGTGAATAAAATGACCTCCATGACCATAAGACTCTAGGTCAAAGCTGACTCCAAATTTGAGTCTACATGATGGGTGAAATAATGGTGCTATTAATACTAATAGGGGCATCAGGCAGGAGTCTCAGCTTGGAAAAGAATGATAAATGTAGATAAATTTCTTTCTCATATAAAAGAGAGAGATAATCAAGAAATAATGATCTTTATTCTTCGCTGTCTTAGGTTGGATGTTGATATAACTGAACTTCACAGTTGGATTACTCGCTCAGAAGCTGTGTTGCAGAGTCCTGAATTTGCGATCTATCGGAAGGAAGGCAACTTCTCAGATCTTAAAGAAAAAGTCAATGTAGGTTATGCATTCATTTCTATATATAGACCCATTTTGTGCTGCTTGTAAACTCCATGCTTTGTTATCTATGATTCTATTAGCGTTGATAGAATTAAATCACTATGATGTAATGCTTTTTAATATATATACTGAATACATATTTTAGATTGCAGGCAAAATCAAAGTTAGCCTAAAAAAGTTTTCTGAATTTTGCTGTGATTGATCAGGAATGTCTTTCATAAACTTTCTTTAACTTATATAATATTTAATTGTAAAATAACAATTGTATAACATGAATTCATATTTATTTGTCTTCATATATTGTTCTCTTACCTCAAAGCTGGATCTTAGCAAGCTTGCAGAACAGTATGAAGTAAAAAGAAATAGAGTAGAATATGGCAATAGATCCTTATAGCTACTATACTTAGGACCATGTTTATGTCCTTACTACCATCAAAAAGTTATTCTTTATAGTTATTGATGCTTGTCATAAATTATGAGAGATTTAGATTTTCCAGATATATGTGTATTGCCTTAGCTTAAAGATGTACGGTTTCTCGCAATATTTACTTGTGGAAACAGATGGTTTGCTGTTTTTATTCCCTTCTGAGACATTATAGTTGTGACCTTCACAATGGGAATTTTTATTAATTTAATATGAACTGCTTTATCTCTAGGGAAATTATCAGGCCTTTGATTTTTCATTTACAATGATTATAAAACATCCATTTTTGGTATATGATTTGCAACAGTTTGTAAGAGAATATCTAAACAGGCAGAGTAAATACTCTACACTGGGCAGGCTAAAGAAACAAATATTACAAATGTCAAATAATTTTAGCCATTGGAAAGTCACATGTAAGTGTGCACATTAGCTCTGCTTTATCTTTCCAGCATTCAATTCATGAATTTCAAAATCTATTATACAAACACAATACTGCCTCAAAAACGAGCTGATGTTTGCTTTGGGTTGGAACGTTCAGAGAGGAACAAGAACAAAAAAAATATCTCCTGGAAGAAAATAATCTATTTTTTAGGCCGCTTGAGGATGGAAAATAATTTTGTCAACAGTTCTTTAAGCTCAGAGTTAACTGGTTATTATACACAGGAACGTTATTTTAACTTTCTTATTAGCTTTGTAAGATATGTTGCCGACAACATTATACTAGACTGAATAGTTTCATGAAATGAGTAATGTGATTATATTGTTATTGTTTTAATTTTGAAAGTAAACTGTGGGATAATATATACTAAATAGTGAAAATTAGAGAAAATGTCCTTTTCAATGTATAATTATTTGAAAGTATATTTTGCTAGAATTTTTGAGGAAATTTCTATGGGTAGAAAATTAATTATAAAAATCTACAATCAAATAAGTTTCAAAGTTTATGTGACATGTTCAACCAGTAAAAATATGAATCACCTTGATTATTTTATTAGTCAATTAAAACTTTTTAATTGATCTGATTCATATAGTTATGTCTTTGACAACCTACTTCTGTACCTTAAAACAGCTTTGATTAAGCAGGAAAATTGAGTTACAGCATTTCAGGAATATAAATTCAAAATTTTTCTGTTATCATATGGTTACCTAGAAGCAATTTGCATTTAATCAATAGTGTCAGCATGACAGACTGAAAGTGCTAAAAAATGTACAGTATTGTATAAGTGGTTTTTTGATGCCTCATGAATCACCTTTATCAACTTGAACTCTCATTTTCTGAAATAACAAAATCATTCTTAATTGCATACTAAAATAGGACATGAAATGATTTACCCAGGCATTTCCTTCAGGCAAAATATAATGTATATGTATTACAAATTCTTGAGAGAAATATATAGTAATGATGATGGATATCCAGTTTAGGCATACATTAATTTTCTTACTTCTCTACCTGTCAGTTTATACAGGTTATTTTGAACTCATGGGACACCTGTGTCATAAACTTGGGTGATATGAATTCATTTTTAGGCACCTATTAAAAATGACTAAATATAAACAATTTTTTTTCACTCGATTCCTTCATTTAGTCATTCCCTTTAAGTATTTTTAGCCAATTAGGACATCTTAGGTATTTATTAGTTCAGTTTCATGTATTTTCAAAAAAAAATTTTAAAACTAAAGCATAATTTTTTCCTTCTCCATTGAGCACACGTTTAATCCATATGATAAACGAAATGCACTTACTTAAAAGTTGAGTTCTAGGGAATATTTCTACTCAGAGTTGTCCCTAGACAACCAATATTGGCATTATCTGGGAGCTTGTCAGAAATATAGCCTCTTAGAACAAGCGAATAAAAATCTGCAGTTGAACAAGTTTCACAGGTGATTCCTATGCACATAATGGTTTGAGAATCAATATTCTAGGAAACAGTCTGGAGCATTACCTAGATGTACCCTCCCACATTCTTTTAATGTCACCATGGTATAGAAGTTTTAGCCGAATTAACAGAGCTAGCTTGAAGTGAGCACATGGGAGTATCAATTAGTAATTAAATAAATAAAATAGCCTTCTCTGACCATTAGGTGGTACGATAAGGTGTTTGAAAATCTGGGGCTTGTACACAATTCTCTTGAAAGCCTTCCTACCAAGCTGTTGTGGTCATCAGGCTTTGGCATCTTCCTTGGATCTACACTTGCTTACACCCATACCAAACCAACTTTTTACCAAGTTCCTGTGGAAATCTTCAGATCAGTTAATTCTTTTCTCCTATCTCTATTTTTTGTGTTTGCTATCCATGGTAAAGTTACCTCTTTTATTCTATATTTTCTTATGTCATTATCTCTATACTCTTCTGTACTCCCTTTTCTCAGCTTTACTTCCTCTGTTTTCTGCCCTCCCATATTATTCCACCGTGCACATTAAAATGCTTCTTTCAAGATAAGTCTTCTGTCCTATATAATACTTATTTCTATTCAAACTTAGAAACTACTTTTATACTCAAGAATACCACTATGACTAATCATTATTTTGTAACCCCATTTTTTAGAATTTCTGTTTTCCTCAATTTAGAGGGACAATTCCAAAAATATTGTTCTCTCGTATGTAAAAAGATCTACTTCCTTGTGGTTCATGCCTAGTGGTCATCTATCATTCACCATTTTATTAAATTTTCTCAAGCTTTTGTGGGTCTTCTAAAAGTTTCTCTACAATTCACAGCATATGATAGATGACATTACCCCCTACTTTAGACAAAACGATATTTCTCAAATGATGTGTATTTGTGCTCATAGTCTGTTTATTTCCATCTACCTTGGTTGAAGGGGCTGTGCTTTAGCTAGTTAAGGCTAATCTCTCACTGTGTGTTCTCAGTACCATCACTATCTATGGAACCTACTTCCATTCAGCTACATATCTATATCGTCAATCTCTCTCATATTCTGTATCTTCCTCATTAGCCTTTAAACTGACTGATTTTTCATCTTTGAGAAAAACATCTTCTCCTATAAACGCACATATAAATATTTACATGCTTTATCATAGTCAACCTCTCTGTAGAAGAGGCTTATTAAACTCTATCCTTCATGAAATTCTTTCCTCACTTGGCTTATGGATACCATTATGGACTGATTAGTTTTTTTACATTGTTGGCCAATTGTTCCAACTCAGCTGTTCTTTGATATTGATATTCTCCACAGTCCTTCTCTTGTTTTTCTTTTCTAGATATCATTTATTCCCATTCAAATAATATCTATTTTCTAATGTCCACCCACTTCAATATATATCTTTAGCTCATATCTCTTCCATAAATCCCAGACCTATGTATCTAATTGCCTAATAGACAACTTTAATGGAATGATTACCTAAAAGCCTAAAATAAACCTAATTATTTCTCCAGACACTCTATTGTTTCTCTTTCCTTTTACCCTTCAAACTGCCTAATCCAGACACCTAAAAGCTAAGTGGGTCATCTAGATTTTTTCTATTGTTCACAAGTTCACTCTTTGATAGGTTCAATTAATCCTGCTTCCTTAACACCTCATGAAACTGTCCAAATTTCTCTATTCCCATCACCGCAACCCTGATTAAAGCTAATATTATGGCTTACTTCTATTTAAGATGACAATCCCCTAGCTGATCTTCTCTGCTACTAATGTTGTATTCCTTTAGAAGTTTTCACATCACCTCTGCCAAAGTGAACTTATTAAAACTTAAGTATGATCCTGTTATGTCTCTGTTTATAATAATTTGAGAAAGATAAAAGTAGCTACTGATAGCCACGAGCTGGCTTGGCACTTCAGTTATGCCCTGGAGTTGCTAAATGTTGCCCTGGTACTTGCAGCTAGTCTGTGGTGTTCTCTGGTTGAATATGAACAATTGCTAAGAATGCCAACATCATACAAGATCATTCTATGGTCATGGTGAATCGAGACTAAAAAGACTACTTTGTAACCATATCTGAATACAGACAAAAATAATAGCATTGTCCAAATCACCCCAAGTGGCCAAATATTCCTCATCTTCACTAATATGACAAATTATGCTTCTTTACTAATTATAGCTTCAGCCTCTCTAAGTTTTTTCTCCTATCTAGATAACATTTTTAAGACACTCAATCATAGAATTACCTCCATTTCTTGCAGCATTCAATCAAAAGAAAGCTCTACTTCCTTGATCCCCTCATTACCGAACACAAGTCTAAATCCTGTAATAAGCTTTTCTAACATCCTCTTAGAGACACACTCTCAAAGTTCCCTATTACGTGCCATTTCTCTTGTTGCAGCATACAAATCAACCTAACTCTGTTAATTTACAGGTTCCTGGTGGTATTTGACTGAAAGGCATTGACAAAGTCAGTGTCACCATATTGCCCTCATGAAGCCAACAATGACCTGATTTCTGTTCACTTACCCAAGGTGATTTACAGCCACTGTCACACTGATTCTATTGTTAGTTTCTAGAAATCAGAAGCTGGAAATTAATTGATTTTTTTTCTTGTTTTGTTTTTGGTATCCCTGTGCCTAATACAGACTACATAAGTAAGTGTTTTTTTCAGCTCTGCAGGCAAATTTTAAC